TCTCCCCAAAACCCCAAAACCCCGTGAGACTTGAAAGTACATAATATAAATTATAGTATGAATATTATAATTAGCTGAACAAATATAAGAATTTGTAAAACAAAATATGATACCGATGTTTACAAGAGGTGTTCGAGTGCCTTAAAAGCACAGAGGACCTTCGCTTGAAGGTAAAAAGTCAAGTACAGATCTGTTTTAAAACACTAATGCCATTATCAATGATAGAGATGGACTCTTGACGAAGACTCACAAGAATTAAGGAAGTTTAGTGGCTATTTAGCAGACACATTCAACTTAATTACTGTCTAGCTAAAGCAGTCGAAGTTAAACAAAATTGAAGAAGACAGCAACAGCTTAGCATAATATGGCAAACAACGAAAATGAAGGAAAGAATCTAAGATTAAGCCCAAGAAGTAAAGGTGTTCCAATAGAATCCAAATTCAAAGGCTCAACTGTTAAGGACTTATCTTAGTACAACACCACAAACTTACTTTAGAAAAGTAGCTATTTGGGGTACTAAGAATAATCACAATAAAACTTGCCACCAAAGCCAATATCCTAGATCCAAAGACGAAACAGACTTTTCCTTACTTTAAGCTCCTCTAAGAAGCAAAGGGAACTCTAGCTCTAGCATTAAAATCAGCAATTCAATAATATACACTATATTCATGATGACTTGACAAAGACTACTGAGACTGTGGTGCATCCCTCGCCTAAGAAGACCAATTTAGAGGAGAGTGTTGAAATAACCAAGGATCAATTCAAGACAGAGCTGATAAAGTTGGAGAAGAAAAAGCAAAAGGAACAGTACAGTGTGAGCAACTTAGTCAAGCAGCAAAAACTAATTGATGAGTAAAACTTGAACTTCAGATTGGATAATATGGAGAGAATCGCACTCATCAATGACTTTCTATCAGATGATAATACTCATATAATAAGAACACCATAGTAAAATTGCAAAATACAACCATCTGTGATAATAAACCCTCCACCAAGAGTAAGCATACCGATTGAGAGACCAGCCATCACAACTATTGAGATAACCTCTATGAACACTAAAAGGAGACCTTAAACAGCATCTAAATCATCAAACAGACAACTTATAGGAGGAGTGGCTAATGAAATTGCTGATTCTAAAATTGCTACTAGTGAGGGATTCAATAGTGCTCAGAAAATAGAACTTAATTCCCTCAAGCGTTAAGTAACCACGCTTCAATCCTCAAAAGACCTGCTCATTCCTTCAAATAACCCAAAACCTCCTCTACAGCATAAAATTCGAGAGCATAACTACGCTTCTAAATCCATCAATCTATCCTTCATGGCTCGAGGGACTCCTAAAAATTAACAGCAGAGAACAACAAAGATTGAGCTGTGCTAGCAACTTGAAAAAATTGAAAGTAAAAATGACCAGTCGATTGAACTTCTAAAAAATAGATTCTGCAAGATGTATGCTAAGATACAGGCAATTGACATTGCCAAGGAGAAAAAATGTGATAAGAAATCACTCATACTTCATGATCAGGAAGAGTGTAAGAAATAAATATTTGTAAATATCTCTGCCAAGATCAAAGATAAAAATAAGTAATAGTTGGTGAATGCCATTGAAGATAAGTTCAAAAGAGTAATAAAGAGAAGCTAATCAAGAGATGTAGTCTCTCGTATGATAGAAGTGATAGACAAAACATAGAAATTTAAACATGATGAATTGATCAAATCAATCATGGACAGTCCTGATAATAAGCCAGAGGACATTTCAAAAGTCATTCAAATCCTTAATGAAAGTACGAATAGAAAAAGTGTAAGTCCCACTTCATTGTCCTAAAGAGGCGGAAGTAGTAGTATTGCTGGCATTGTTAAAAAGCCTAGCTCGATAAGGACAATTGCTTAGATGAAAAATATGGGACATTCGCATGCTTAGAAGACCAAAGAGGCAGCCTAAGATAATACTAAGTCCATTTAGGAATATAGATTTACTGATAATATGAGTGTGGAGTAGTTCTTTAAGATGCAGCCTGAGGAAAGATGTAGGTATAAGGTATATCCTAGTGATCTTGCGAAACTTACTCATAGCGTTCAGACTAAACTTATACTATAGGATACACTGGCTAGCAAACAAGAAGTCACCATCTTGGATCAATAAAACAAGTTGAAAAATGAACTTAACAATAGAGGCTTTTGGTTTAAAAAGTAACTCTATGGCATTGCACCTGTAAGCAGGGAAAATGGGTGTCTATATTTCGAACAAGGTTCAAAGCAGTTGTTTGTCTGTGGAGGCTACTAATAGAATGACGCATTTGACACTCATGATATAAGTATAGCGGGAGAGCAGTTAAAATGGCAAAGGAATATTCCAAAGTTTCCTCTGTAAAACAACTATGGGTAGTTAAACATTATCTATCAGGATAAGCATTCAAAACGACTGAAAGTGCTACTATTTGGAGGCTAGGCTTGTCTTGAGAAGCAATAGGGTAAGGCTAAATACTCCTCATCAGCTTTGAGAATATTAGATTTATATTCACTTGAGCAGTAAGAAATTACGATGACTGGGGATATAATCAGAGGCAGGAAAAACATGGGTTCCTGTTTTTGTGATTAAAACCTCATAATACACGGAGGTTAGGACAACCAAATAGAAGCACTTGGTGATTTCTTCGTATTTAATGTAGACTCATATTAATGGCGTAAGCTTAAAGTGACCTTCAAGGATCAAGGAGAAAAGATTGATAACTTTCAGCTCAAACTCTCCCATCACACAATGACTGCTGTTAGTAAATCTTTACAGAGCAGAATAGATATATACATATTTGGTGGACTTGATTCTCATAATGCTCCTTAAAACTAACTCTACTTGCTGACATATAACACCTAAAGTCATGAGTGTAAGCTTCGAATGATTACTGATAAGACTGGGTTTTTCCCTTAAGCAAGAAGTCATCACTCAGCTCTAATGACCTGCGGGAACAAATACCTACTGATTTATGGTGGGAAAAATGATTTTTTGTTTAATAAAGTTGATAGCAACAATAATGTGGCTGTTGATGATATTGCTTTATTTAATACAAAGACCAAATGCTGGGATTCTTTTGGCTAATATGGATTTAAGCCAGATTCTAGATGGAACACATCTATTGCCTATGATGAGTAGAAAAACCGATTAATATTGTTTAGTGGGTCTAATTTGAAAGGCTTTTGTACTAATGATATTTATTATTTGGAGATGCAGCCAAACATTGTATAGACTTTGATCTCACGAAGTGCATAGTGTCAAAAGTATATTGATAACTTAAGCAATAAAATTACCAAAAATATAGGCTTAAGTGATAATGTGGCATCCGGTAGACTTGCTTAATCAAGGAGTGGAGCTAATATCCCAGTTAAGGGATAATCCCTAATGTAAATAACTAGGTTTTAATAAACTGGGGTATAAAACTTAAGTCTGGAAAGACAAGCTAATCAAGAATAGCAATAGTTTACCTAAAGCAATTTACACTAGAGTCAAAGTTTGATATAAAATTACTATTCAAGGTAAAACTCTAAAAAGGTTAGAATAATGGACGAACTCAATTTATACTCAAGGACTCCTATTGATTCAATTTTTGAAATTAATTATTGACGAATAATTATATTATAAGGAAATTTCTTACTAATGATTTTATGGGGTTTTGGGGTTTTGGGGTTTTGGGGAGATCGGAAGA